CTGTGGGCTGTGGTTTGGTGGTCAGTGGCTTGTCCAGTGGCTTTGGGGGTCTCCATACCCCTGGTACAGCAGCAGGTCATTCTCAACTGGCCAGATAAGGGATGTCACAGGAGACACCAGAGAGGATTGATGGCCCAGGTTGTCACCTGTGCCGAGTTAGGATAATGGAGCACAGATTTCTAGGGAGGTTTCTTGCCTTAAAGGCAGAATGAGAAGGGCCAGAGAAGAGAGAAGGGATTTATTTGCATTGCTGCTGGCTCTATGAAAGACCTTTGATGCCTGCAGACAATTCCAGCTGACTCATTGTCCCTGCTGGGAGAGGGTGTCACTAATTGCTGCTCCTCCTATGTCCTTGGCCCTGTAATCCAACAGGCACCTGCTGCACTTTGTGCCCCCTTGCACAGCTGCTGTCACACTGCTGCAGCCACTCTGGCTGCTCCTGTGTTCCTAATCCATGCATCCTGTATTTTTTAAATCCTGTATGTGCCCAGAGCATCAAGTGAGATTCCTGTTTAAATCACATAATATCCCAAGTTGAAAGGGACCCACAAGGATCATGAGAGTCCAGCTCCTGTGGAGTGCAGATCTGGGAGTGGAGGTGGTACAGGGATAGAATGCCTGACTCTGCTGCAGTCAGTCACAAAAGTGACTTGAGCAGGATGCAGGAGTTAACTTACCACAGTCTCAGCCTCTGAACTTGGTAAAAAATGCCCCAAAATTAAAGGGAAATGTGGGTTACTTGGGGACATTGATATTTAAAAGAAGCTGATCCTGCTGGACAAGAAAATTCTAGCACAGCTGTGTTACAGAATTTAAAACCTTTTCTTAGTGGAGTTGGTCAAAAAGGGAGAAACAGCTTGGGAATGGCACGTCTAGAAAGGGTTGGAAGCTTTTAGTAATTGAAAACAAAAAGTCATCATATGGAAATGTTCATAAACTTAAATGTGACAGTGTAACTTTTGTTATTTCTCCAGTATGTCTTGTGACACGGGGAAGTGGCCGTGGTGCTCCCTGGTGGTGTCAGTACATGGTGGCTGTGTCAGGCTGCATGCACATGTGGGAATCTGGCTGCCACAGGTCCTTCCAGTTTTCCCTGTAGTCTGCTTCCTTCAAGTGCCAGTCTTTTGTGTGATGCTATAATGGGTTTTCCTTGTATAAATGGATTCTTGTCCTGGGAACATGTGGAATTTTGGTCTGTTGTATATTTTTGTATTGTGCTGCAGATCTGAGCTGTGAAATACCAGGTTTTCCACATTATTTTGCCAGAGGGGCAACCGGATTCATGTAATTATTTAAAAGAAGATATTTTTCTTTTAAAGCTGCTTTATAATTTTAAATGTTTGGAACTTCTGACAAACAAAGAGCTCCTGTTTAAAGACTAGAGCTCTTTGGGCCTGAATTTAGATGTGTATTAAACCCTTTCATTTCCCTGGAAAGAAATAAAATCCCCAGTTATCTTTGTTAAGTAGCCACTGCTCCTGCGTTTTCACTCAAGTCATGAAGTTGTGCATCCTCAGTGCCAGGAGGACCAGGAGTGGTTCTTGGTACAAGGGTGAATTGACACTGGACATTGCAGGGAGGGCTTTTGGAAAGGCCCCTTTTCCTTCTCAGCCTGTGGAAGGAGTTCAGGTGCTGGAATCCAGCATGTGATGATGGTGCAGAGACCAGGGAATTCACTGGGAGCCTCGTGAATGGCAGCAGGAGGATGGCTTGCTCCTTGGAATGAGCTTTTGAAGGTGCCTGTGTGTCAGCCAAGCTTCCCTGGAAATGTTTCGCCTCTGCCAGGTGAGATCAGGTGGGAAAACACATTTTCTTCTCTTTGGACTGTGTGCCTGTGAAGGTGCTTCACCAGTCCTGAGTGTTCCTGACTCACTCAGGATGGAGGCTGGCTGTGCACAAGGTGCGTGATATAGGATAAAAAAATGGAAAAAAACCACACAGAATGGAAAGGGAATCCCTAAGACTTCAGCTTGAATCCCTCAAATTAATAATCACCAGGCTGGAAGGCTCTGGTTTTCAACCTTTTCTAAAACTGAATTTCTGGAGACGGTAGTCTTCCTTAATCACAAGAAACATGTACTAACCATTAGGGAATCTGCTGGGAATGACCGAGATGATTTGAGGTGGAAATAGAGTGTAAGAGATGAGACACAGCAAGTCCTAGCACAAAGCACAGCTGAGCCCACCTCTATACAATAAGTTTTATTGATGTTTGTCAATACAATCAAGTACTGCAGTTTTAGTTGTGAAGAGCAGGTCAGTTTTGGGTCACAAAGAGTGCATTTTAAACCAACTTTTACTAGGACAGTGCATGTAATAAGTATTTACAAAACTAAAAACCTCTATATACTAGGTTAGAAATGAAGATACTAGAGGCAAATTTAAAAAAAATAATAAGAATTTGTATATAAAAATGCACATTGTAATGCAGTTTTCAGCATTAAAAATAGACATACCTCATCCAACCCAACCTTTTTTATTCTTGTGATTGAAACCAAAATCCCACGCGCTCACACACACGACAGAAAACAATCCTTTCTGCTGGCTAATATGTACTCAGTATTCCAGAAAAAAATCCTTCTGGAGAGTGAACAGCCTCCCTCATCCTGTGCATCGTTTTTTGTTTAGCCTAACTATGTGCGTGTAATATCTTTGCTTTCCATTAGTGTGTAAATGTAAGAGGTTAAATAGCTGCAAGGGGTGATTATGGGTTTGCTCTGCACGTGAAGGGAAAGTGGAATTACAAAACAGTATCTACAGCACAAACTTAATCTGGGGGTGGCTACACTGAGGAGTTTGGTCGTTGCTTTTTGCCAGCTCGAACAAGAAGTTTGGAATGAAGCAGAACAGAACAAGAAGAGATGGGCTGTAGATTAGGCACAGTATAAATAAGTTGCTTTGAGGAGCAGGATGAAGCTCCCACCAGGCGTGGCAGCTCCTGGCCCTGCGTGGGGCTGGACCAGCTCAAATCCCTCTGTTCTCCACAGGAAAGGAGACAAGTCCTCTCCCAGCACCCTCCCCTACCAAACCTGGGCTTGGAAAAATCATCTGAGCTTCCACTTTTAATTTTAGGGACTGTTCCTGCTGGGAAGGATAACCTGTTAGGATCACAACCCAAATGGTCCTGACCCCGCCCTCAGGAGTTAAAAATGTCCAGTGGGATCAGACACCTTTCAGCTTGAGGAGTTTCATCTCTGCATGAAACTTGCAGCTTTAAGGATAGAAATTCACAGGGAGAAGATCCCAGGGAGGGGACACACAGCCCCAACCAGTTGTGCCCAGAGCACTGGCCTTCCAACTGCAAATTTCCTTCTTGTGTTTCTTAAGTTCAGGGATAGGTGAGTTTTTAAAAGGAAGGCCTGAATGGCAAAAGGCAGAAGCACAGGACAGGCTTGAGGAGAAAACAAACAAGCAAAACAGAAACAGGAAAAGAAAAGTTGTTTAAATATCTCATAGAGTCCATCTGGAAAACAAGCCCAGTCCCAGTCTTGCTACGTTTCTTTGGCCATCAAACAGGCTTTGGGAAAATGCAAAGGTCAGAGCTGGTGACCAAATTGTTGCTGTTTCTCAGGGATGTGCCTTTGCAGAGGGACATGGAGTGGGATATGCATATGGATTGACTTCAGCAGCATGCTCCTGGCCTGGGATGAGCAGCATCCCTGTCCTGGAAGTGGCAGTGACCATTCTACTGTGAGAAAACCTGCAGGATCTATGTGGGGCAGTGCCATCATGCCTGGCCCAGAGCCCTGCAGCTCATGCTCAGGTCAGTAATGCTCCAAGCATTAGAGAGACAAAGTGGTAACAAGAGGCAAATGTTGATTTCTTTAACCTAAGTCACAGAGTGGCCTCGGGGCTGGTGCCCTGTCACAGGTACATATTGCACTACACTTGTAAGTGATGTTCTTAAATGGGTCATAGCACCGTGGTGAAATCACTGTGTGGAAAGTTAGAACCAGCACTATTTTTTCTTAATTCCAAGATCCCCAGAAAAAGGGGGGACACCAATGCAAGAGTTCACACATCCCGAAATAGCGAGACAGGAAAAGCAAGTTGTCCATCAGTGGCACTTCCTTATGTCACACCAGCTGGCAGCACCGTGAGCTGGGCTCGCACTGCCATCCTTGTGTGGGCAGAGATGCTCCTGAGGCCAAGCAAGTCTTTGGGCTGCAGAGACAGATGGGACAGGACCAGCCCTTGGACTTCCCAGCAGGTGAATGGAGAGAGCAGATCGTTGTTCATCATGGGGGTCCCAGCTTTCCTCACCGCCTTTGGAACCAGTCGTGGCATCCTCCCAGGTACCAGTGCCTGGACGATTTTATTCCTAAAGGTGCTGGGGGGGGGAGGGTTAAAAATAATATTTACTTCTTAGAAGAAGGTGCTTATGCAAAGTGTTCCACTCTTTAGGATTATAAATCCAACCACACTGAATCCGGAGTGAATCGGAGAGACTGCCCCAAAGCACAGTCTGGAAAAACAGGCGTCAGCGAGCCTGGAACTTGGGCATCTGATGGTTTGGAAGGAAATTTCTCAATCCAGCGTGGATCCCTGCTGCTGTATGGGTTTGTGTAAGTGCCTGGGACCCTGCATTGGTTACCAAACATGCCAGCCATGACACAGCTGGATTTATTTATCTAGCATTCCAAATGGGAAATGAGGGCACTTGATACAGACCACGAGGGTCTGGTCCTTCAGCTGACCCTCTCTGGATCACAGAACCAGATCCTTGCCATCCCAAGCATGTTCCTGTGTTTGATGTCCAGTCACTGGGGTATTTATTCCAAATATGCTTTGTTGAGGAAGTCGCTCCCCTCCCTCCCTTCTTCCCCCAAATAAAGAAAGATAGATGGATAGATGTCTCCTTCCCGATTACCCTCTTGACTCATGGATCAAACAGCATGAAGCAAGGTCCCATGACAATGTCTTGCATGTTCTTCCCAGTGATTTTTCTTTTTTTGTATTAATTTTAAAACACTTTTTTATCCCAAAAAAAAAAAAAAAAAAAAAAAAAAAGACAGTTTATGGCTAAAGTGGGTGAAAAGGAAACGTGCCCAACAGCCGTTATGTGGGGCAGAGCAGGAACCCAGAGAAGGAGGAGTGGATGTATTCCGTGGAGTACAGCCCATTGGCCTGGTCTGAGGGCATTTGTACCCAGACCTGGTCATTCTCCTTGAGTTCAAGCACGGCACTGCCCGAGGCCTGGTCCAGGTACCCCTTTTTGTACTCATCGTAGGTGTAGGTGGCCGGCACGTTGTTCTTGTACAGGGCCACCCAAACGTTGGTCCCTTTGACGTGCACATGGTAGGCAAAGTAGTAGATTCCAGATACAGGGCAGGTGAAGATCCCGGTGACTGGGTTGTAGCCATTGTGCCCGTTATACAATGTCCGGTCAAACTTGACGGGCATGCCGGATGCGGGGAAGGGGGAGGTGAGGATGGCAGTGAAGGCTGGCGCGATGCGGGCAGCGAGCTCTCCTCGGCCATACTGTGGCTTGCCCGGCTTCCCATTGCCCAGCACAGCCCCCTCCACACCACCGTCCGGCAGGTGCAGCCCCGCGATGCCCGTCTCTTCCAGCACTCCTGGCGCTCCTGGTGGCCCAGGTGGCCCCGGTGGGCCTGGTGGCCCGTTCAGCCCTGGCGTTCCTGGCATTCCGGGTGGGCCAATGGGTCCGGCCATGCCAGGCTCGCCAGTCTTCCCCTCGCCAGGAATGCCAGGGAGCCCGGGCTCCCCTTTCAGGCCTGGTAACCCCTGAGGCCCCATGGGACCAGCAGGCCCTTGCAATCCCGGGATGCCAGAGGGGCCCCTCAACCCCGGCTGCCCCGGGATCCCACCATCCCCTTTGGGCCCGGGGCCACCTGTTAATCCAGGTACCCCAGGAAGGCCGATGAACCCTGGTTCACCTTTGGGGCCTGTTGGGCCAGGAGGTCCCAGTGACCCGGGCAGGCCCCTTTCTCCCGGCACCCCTGGCTTCCCTGCAAAGCCATTCGGGCCCTGGTCCCCACGCATCCCTGGCATTCCTGGAGGCCCACTTGGCCCCACGTCCCCCTTGGGGCCGGGCAGCCCATGCTTGCCTGGTAGCCCCATGGACCCTGGTGGGCCTGGTGGGCCAATGATGCCGGCAGGGCCTGGCTCACCCGGCTCCCCATCAACACCGGGCTCCCCTTTATCGCCGATGGCTCCCTGTGCCCCCGGCTGCCCACGGTCTCCTTTCAGGCCGGGCATGCCTGGCTTCCCATAACCCGTGGGGCCTGGCAGGCCAGGGAGGCCGCGGATCCCAGGCTCTCCCTTCGGTCCCATGGGGCCCTGTATCCCCGGCACCCCCGCAGCGCCCGGGACACCGATCCCATCAATCCCGGGGGGTCCCCGTGGCCCCACAGGGCCGGGCTCCCCGGTGACACCAGGCCCGCCTGGGGGACCCATGTCACCCTTGTCCCCAGGTGCACCTGGCAGCCCATCCAGGCCAGGCTTCCCAATGCCAGCGGGCCCCGGGGGCCCCGCAGGACCAGGAGGGCCCCCATTCCCACGGGGCCCTGGTAAGCCTGGCTTCCCCACACCATTTTCACCCTTCATCCCTCGTTCTCCACGGGGACCTGGCTCTCCTTTCGGGCCAGGCTCTCCCCGAAACCCGGGCAGGCCAGGGCCACCCTGGGGACCTGGCTTCCCATTGACAGAGAGGCCAGCTGGCCCAGGCAGCCCTGGTGGGCCGGGAAGTCCCCTCGGCCCTTGCTCCCCACGCATGCCAGGCTCGCCCTTGGCTCCGGGCATCCCTTTCATACCCGCCTTTCCAGGGAGTCCTGGGATGCCAGGTTTCCCTATTCCTGAGAAGCCAGGGGGCCCAGCAGGCCCAGGCTGGCCGTGCATTCCCGGCTTCCCCGTGCCCGGTTTTCCTGGGTAGCCGGGGGGCCCGGGGGGTCCACGCGGGCCAGGCTTCCCAGGTGGTCCTGGCTCCCCTTTGAGGTCCATGGGCAGCAGTGGTGGCATGTCTGTGGAGAGAGGAGAGACAGAGTGTCACTGGGAGTGGCAGTGGGCAAGGATTGTCCTTGGGATGTTGGAGCCGGGGTTTCTGAGTGACCTAGGCTGGGCTTGAAGGGGAACCCTTCCACTTAAACATGGCCAAATCAGCTTCCTGGGCCCCCACATCAGCAGGGCTGTCCTGAGGCAAGGCCAAAGCCCAGAGTTCTCATTCTGCCTTCACATCCCTCCATGATGTCAGGTGACACTATGGAAAGCACCAGTGCTTGCTGTCAGCTCTGACAGGGCTATTTTGTGATGAGTTACTGCAGAGTGTTTTTGGAGCTGGATTCAAACCTCCTGCTGCCTCACTTCCCAGTGGCCTTGAAAGCACCGTGGGATTCAATCACTCCTGCCTGGGCTCAGCTGAGAGGATGGTGACAGAGTGAGCCAAGACTGAGGATAATCCCTCAGCCCGTCCTGCGAGTCCAGGGCCTTGGGAGACCTTTAATCCTTTTGGATTAAAAAGAAAACTCTTGGACATGTACTTGAGAGCCTGAGGAAGCGATGGGTGTATGGGTTAGGCCATGCCCACAGTGCTTGCTGGCACAGCTCCTGAGTCCAGCAAGGCAGAGAAAAACCAAAAAGCAAAAAAGCTCTGGGGATGGAGGAGAAGCCAAGAGCTGGGAGGGAAATGCAGCCTCAGCTTCATCCAAATGAGTCAGCCCAGCTGGGAATAGGCCACAACCACTTGACATTTCAAGAATTTATTGAGGTCTTTTGCAAACGGATATAAGAAAGAAACTAATGGGCTGAGAGACTCCAAAGGCAAGGAGAGGCAGATGACATGCCCACCACAACTCAGCATGGAAAGCACAGACGTGAGCATAAATAACTCCTTAAGGCTAGCCCAGGCAGGGTGTCACCTCCCACGTGACACCAAGAAAGGGTGAGAAAGTATAAATCTGACAAACACTTTTCTGGGCAGTTTGGAATGAAGGAAATACTCGACAGTCACTTGTACACAGGACAATGATGAGAAATGTGAAAGGCAGAGGAAAGGGCTGTGTCCTCTTGGGTGAATTTAAATCAAGTCTGCCCAAGGGAGATAATTCCAGTTGGGACAAGATCTATATGGACAAGTTCCTGGGATGGGGATGGATCCTGCCTGGGGTGGGAGCAGGATACAAGGCTGCATGCCACAGTCTCCAAGGTCTGCCAGTCTGTCCCCCTCAGTGAGCCAAGCTGGGCTTTGGGAGCACAGACACACGTGGTGCTGGGATCCGCCAGCACGGAGATTTCCTCAGTCAACGGGAAAAGCTTATGGGAGATTTGAGACACGTGAAAAGAATAACTGTGGCAGCAGCAGGCACAGTCCTGGAGCATCAGAGGTGGCTTTGCCTGCCCTAAACACAGCAATTAGCTCTGGCCCTTCCCAGCCTGGTGCCACTGTGCTTTCCTTTGGGTAATGGAAACATTTTTAGAGCTTATCTACAAATCAAAGCCTGGCCCACATCCTGTGGGCTTGTAGCTGTGGTCACTTGGCTCTCTTGATGAAGGAAATACTTGTCTGTCATGACACTGCCACTGGATTTCTGCAAACTTCTTCTCCTCACCCCAGAAAACAGTGTGGGAGAGAGGGCAAGGGAGCTGTGCAGTGCTGCACTCCCCAACCGCAACACTGCACTGCTTCTGGGGTTTGGATTCTGGAAAAAAATTCTCCAGAAAATTATTTCAATGTGTTTTCTCCCCCGACTTTTTCTTTTTAATTTTTTTTTTCTTGCAATGGTTTGAAATGAATTAGTTTTCTAGGTCATTTTGCATGGAATCAGAACAAGGATCTACAGCTGAGCCCACGAAGGAAGGAAAAAGCACACACACTCTCTCACACAAGGCAGTGAAGAGAAACGCCAGGCGGGAGCTGCCAGCTTGCAGGCGGCCAAAAAAGCAGACGGGAAAACCAAACCGGGGCCGTCAGCGGAGAGAAACTGGGACACTGCAGCCCCACTGGTGTCCGATTTCAAAAGCCCATGTCTTAGCACAGACACATGTCTCGGAGCTCTGCGCTTCGCAGCACCAGCGTGGGGTTCTGTGTTCCCGTCGAAGCATGACCTGAGCTGCCGTGAATGTTAACACGGAGACAGCTGGGGCAGCGGGAAAGGGATGGGGCAGGAATGACCCCTGGGAGCTCCCACCTGGGCACTACGGAGCGTTCCATGTCCTGAGCAGAGTGGACATGGCCAGGTGGGTGCAGCAGCCCCTGTGGAGCCGTGTTCATCCCGGTGAGGACCCCTCCTGCCTGGAGAAGGGACCCAGCAGAGCAGACCGGCCAGCAGAGGAATAATCCAGTAGGATGGGAAGTGGTTCCCAGCCATGAGCAGCCAGCAGTGGGTCTGGCCAGCTCGGCCAGATGACACTGCAGGAAGGAGAGGTTGGCTGCTCTGTGGCGGAGCCCAGCCGAGCTTGTTCCAGAGCTGCTGCCAAGCCCTGTCTCGTGAGAGAGTTTCACAGGCTCACGGGCATGTTGCGTGGGATCAGTGTTTCAGCACCTCTCATGCTGTCTCCCAGCAGTGGGTGCCTCAGCACAGCACTTGCTCATGGGTTTACCTGACTGCAGGGCCATCGACATGGTTTAAATTAAGCAAAAATAAACCTCAATGTGCAAATCTCTGCAAAATGTTCTGAGCATTTCAGCATTTAGCAGCATCTCCTCCTTGAGCTCCCTGTATGCTCTGGGGCGGCTGTTTTTGGGTGAGAAAAGATGTCTGGCACCTTGAGGAAACCTGTCACTCAGCAGATGGCACCTGGAGGCAGGAGGAACCCCCCGCCCCCCAGCCGGGGGTCCCAGCCCCCGCCGGCTCGGGGTAACCCGCGGGGGCACGGCACAGCCCTGCGCCGTCGCGGCGAGTCAGCTGAGCTCCCCGAGCAGGGCAGAAGGCCAGCAGGGATTTTCCTTGCCAAATTAGAGGTTAAGCAGAGATGGGAACTCAGTGGGATCCAGGAGGCACCGGCTTCCCCAGCTGCCTCAGTGCGGCCCCACAGCCGGTGGCTCGGGCTGCAGCTGTCCCTGCATCCCCCTGTCCTGTCCCCCACCTGTCCTCTACTTCCCAAGGGTTTTAGAGGAGTAATGTCCAGGGGACTTCTGTGCTCTGCCCTGCCTCAGTGTCCCCTCTCCCTGGTCTAACCTGGCAGAGTTAGTCCAAACCCTTCCTTGCCTCAGCCTGGCACACTCACTGCTCTCCCCACCATAGGCACCATTGCTCAGAGGCAATGCAAGCCGCTCCCATGCATAGGAAGAAGAAAAAAAATAAGGGAGAACAGCAGGGAGATATTTGAATCCAGTCCCACCAGCAGCTGAAGTGTTCCTGTGCTACGCTGGAAGGTTTTGGCTCTGGCTGGGATTCAGGGAGCAGCTTTACAACAGCTGGGAAGGGGGCAGGGACGGGGGGGCTTGTAGCACACTTCGGCTCCAGGTTTTGCTGTGTGTTTTTTGACACATGTGCTGAGCTGAACTCCTGATAAGCCATTCAGCCCTCCAGTAAATCAGCCACCGGTGGCCCAGCCTTCTCCAGTTTCTCCTCCCAGAGCCAAGACTAGCTCCTGGGAGGGTCCAGATCTGTGACAACCCATGGAGAGGCTCCAGTGGCTCTTCCCAAGGGTCAGACACCGACCTGGAGGGTCTAGGTACCTGAGCCCAGCAGTGCCCTATCCTATGGTGGTGCCAGCACTGGAGTGGATGCAGGCAGGGCAGCTTGAGACAGGGGATTACAGAAGGCTGGGGGTGCTGGAGCCCCAGCTGTGCAGGGCAATGACCCTGGTGCCTCTGCCCCTCTGGGTGCACATCACTCTGTGGGGAGTGATTTAACATGTGTGGAGTTTCTGGTTGCTGCTCTCTGAGGGAGGAAATGTCTCTCTCCTGCTCTTCCCTCGCCAGTCTGAGTCTCAGCTCCAGCCTTGGCACTCTTTCCTTTCCCAGATGGTGCAAAATGCAGACAGGGAAACGGAATAGGTGGAGGAGTGGAAAAAGCCTTGCCAGGACAGCTCAGGTTTAACAGCAGGGAGAGGCAGAGACAGCAAGTGCTGGGACTTCTGAACCTCATGCTGCTGGGGATGGGTAGGAGCCAGAGGCTGGAGGGTCCCCTGTGTCCCTTTGACTCCCAGACCAAGGTGCCCTCCCAGCCCCAGCCAAGGGCTTCACTTCCCTGCTGGGTCTTTATCTGTGTCCATCCTGTCCTTTTGCAGTGGGTTAGAGACCAAAATGGTCCCTCCATGCTTGGCCAAAAGTGTGTTGGACAGCAGCACCCTCAGCTGTGCCAGGTGGCTTCCAGGAGCTCTGGCCCTGAAGGGCAGAGGGTGACAAGTGCCCAATGGCTGTGAGGTGCCATGTCCCCTTCCCACTACCCCATGTCCGCCCACAGTCCCACAGAATGCATCCCTTACCCAGGTACTGCCCTTTGCCTTCACGAAACGGGGGTCCCAGGGGTCCCTTCACCATGGGCTGCATGTACTTGACTTGAGCGTAGCCCCCCACGCCGCCTCCCGCGGCCGAGCGAGGGCCCATCACCATCACCACGGTCCCCAGCATCACCAGCAGCACCGCGGCGTCCGGCAGCATCCTGCTCCCACGGCTCCTGCAGACAAAGCAACAGTGACACTGGGTACACACCCCCACCTCACGAGCAGCTGGGAGCCTCAGAATGATCCCCAGGACTCCCTCGAATTTGCCTTTTTGTGGATCAGTGACATCCTGAACATGTTGCCCTTCCTGACACACCACAGCTGGAAGATGTATGGCAAATACAGTTTATAGAATACAATCCCAGAATCACTGAGGCTGGAAAAGACCTCCAAGGCCATTGAGGCCAGCGTGTGACTGATCTCCACCTTGTCACTAGCCCAGAGCACTGAGTGCCACATCCAGTTGTTCCTCAGACACCTCCAGGGGCTGGGACTCCATTGCTTCCCTGGGCAGCCCCTTCCAATGTCTGACAGCCCTTTCCACAGAGAAATTCTGTGGAAAACCTCAACCTCCCCTGGCACAGCTTAAGGCTCTTCCCTCATCCTGCTCTGTAACCAACCACAGGGGTGCCCAGTGGAGTCTTACAGGAGCTGCCTTGTGTGTCTGTGGTAACTCTCACATCCCTTATACATTTTTAACAAATATAAGAAGGGAGGGGAAAGACAGGTAAGACCTGCAACTCACTGAGCCCAGCACTGCTATCACACCCCTCAAGTGAGCAGGGGCTCCTCTCACAAGATCCGTGTCCCCTATGGGAGGCACAGGCTGCCACTGTCAAGCCCTGGCTTTTTGGGGCAGCCGGTAGGTGCTGAGCCTCCCAAGTGGGTGCTGAGCCTCCCAAGTGGGTGCTGAGCCTCCCAAGTGGGTGGTGGGCCAAACCCTCGATGTGGGAGCCAGGGACTTGCCACATTTGTGGCTCGACTGCGGCGCTTCGCGGGCAGCGCTGGGAACTCGTGCGGAGGACGAGGGATGGGACACAGGAGCAGCAGCCTCAGCCTTAAGTGCCTGTTTATTTAAAATAAACCCTTTTTATAAATACTCTCTTCCTCCAGCAACCCTCCCTGTCAGCTCCACGTGCAGAGCTGCAAACAGATTGATTTGCAAAGAACATTTATTTTCAGAAGCTTAAACAACACGTGACGCCAAAAAGCTTTTTGCTGCTTTTCGTCCCTCTCGCAATAATTGACCTGTGGTGGTTATTAATGAGAATTAAGCTCCTGGCCTGTCCCGCTGGGGAGCTGGGGCAGGGCTGCTGCATGCCCGGATTTCATCGGAATTTCCTGAATCGCTTTTGCTGAAGCAGCAGTAAAAAAAAAAAAAAAAGCTGCAGCCTAGAGAAAAAACAACCCAAATTAAAACAAAATTAAAGCAAATTAAGTCAAGGGAGCAGGGAGCCCTGGCATGGGATTGTTCCTGATGCCACAAGGGCTTGGCAGGTTTTTGGAGTCTCCAGGGATGAGGCAGCCTTGACAGCTGCTCTTGTGCCTGGAACATGGTCTGAGAGTCAGCTGAGGGCTGGAGGGGACAGGGATGGCCCTGCCATTAGCAGCACGATGGACCCTGTGAGGATGCAGGTGGCTGTGGCAGATGCTGGGAGAGGAGCTCTGCTCTGCCCATCCCACCAGAGCCACGGGCCCGGAGTGGTGCCGTTCCCACTGAGACACCCAGAGCCGTGGCTGTGGGTCGGGTGACACTGCCAGGGACACGGGTGACAGCCACCCCCAGCCTCCTTGGCAGCACGGCCGGGGCCTCGCCGGCATTATTGTTTTTCTGTCTTCAGGGTCGAGGAGAGGAACGCTTCTTTTTATGAAGCATTATTTTACAAGGATTTGTTTAAGGGGAAAAGAATCCCATTTTAAGGGATTGCAGCTGTAAAAATACAGTTTCTGTTAAATAAAAGAGGAGAACAAACCCCTGAATCAGCTATTTACTTGTTTTCCTTACCTGGTATGACCCCTGTGCCTCTGTCTCTCCTTCCCTTCCTAGTTCTCTCCTCTCCCACCTGGGCTGGATTCACCCCTGCTCCTCCCCTCCACTGGGCTGTTTTCTCAGGATGCTGCTATGGGAGCAACATCCTGGGGTGGTTCAGCCCCTTGCTGCTGGGCACTGCATCCTCCTTCTGTGAGCCCTCAGCCCTCGGAGAGATGTGGGATTCAGGGAAAACAGAGCCAGAGGCAAGGGAGAGGGAGGACAAGGGAATCTGACCACGGTTTCGTTGTGTATTGGATATGAACCTGAGTTCCCTGCTCTGTGTCCTCTGTCATCCCCTTGATCCAGCCAGGTCGTTCCAACTGCCTCAGTCTCTGCAGAGCAACAGGGGGAGTCTGGCCTAAGCTCCTCAGGTACATGTCCCTCAACAAAAGAGGTCTCTGGTGCTGTGCTGTCCCCCCAGCCATGCCCAGCGCTGGGGCAGGAGGCCTCCCGCTACCCGCGCTCTCCAGGCAGTGATTTAATAACAATAAAATGGAAACATCTGGAGTCCCATATGATGGATAAAGTGTGCACAACGTGCTTGTGGAGAGGCTCTTTCATGCTTGAAATCTCCTGTGTTATGAACTGATAATTAATCACACGGAGCAGCCACACGATGCTCCCATCTCGCCTGGCAGGTCGTGAATGGTGGCCAATCCATCATGTGTATGGGGGGGCTACAGAGAGATGGGGGTCACCTGCCCATCCTCCCGCTGGTCACCTGCCTGTCCTGACCATTACCTACTCGTCCTCCTGGGGTCTGGGGTCAAGAACCTGTTCTTGTATGACCAACAGAAATCCCACGAGACTAATTTTTTTCTCACTTGGAGCAGGGGAGAAGCTTTGGGGGTCCCAACTGTAGCCCCTCCTGGGCTCACTCCACTCTGCCTGGGCACTGCAGCCACCAGGCTGCTGTCCTTCAAGGGCAGCTCCAGCTCCCCCGGCACACTCCAGTACAACCAAAACCATCCCTTGACACAAAGCCAAGCCCAGCAGGAGCTGCTGAGCCAGGAGGGTTCATACAGGGGCAGCACTTGAGGGGTCCATGCTGTTCTCTAGGGATGCTGGAGCAGGATGGGGCCCAGCAACACTGCACTGCTCAGCTCTGGGGGGAGCAGGGCCCCGATCCAGCACCGAGACCCCTGGCACAGCTTCAGAGCCGCCACCGCCACACTGACGGTGTGAGTGTCGGCTCCCCTGGCAGGCGGCGAGCAGACGTGTTAAAAACCCTTGGCACGCCATGAAAGCACTGGGAACAGGGAAAAAATCTCACACTTAAAGCATGAGAAAAGAGACAAGAAATGTCACCTTGTTCTTGCAGGAAAACAACCAGCCTGTGCTGCCTCCGTCGCTCCAGAACTGCTCGTGGCTTGTCCAGCGCAGCCTGGTGAGCTCCCAGAGTGTTCCTGGCGTGCTTCTGGTCATTCCCAATGGCAGAGGGCTGCTGCCCCCTGCATCGTCCCACTCTCCCCACAGAGCCCATGTCAGCACTCCCATGCCTGTGGACTGGGCAATGTTCCTGTGAACACCATGGCCCAGCTTCCCCACGGACATGGCCAGGGCTGTTGCCTGAGCTGCGGCTGATTTATGGCCCCTGTTACTTAAATATTAATGAAGGGCCTGGCCGGCCCTGCGCCTGCTCCCTTTGAGGCTAATTATTTTTTAAGTCAATATATGTGATCCACGGGGGATCTGCCATTGTGACTGAAGGTCGGCACAACGGGGAACTTGTTTAAACCCGGCAGTCAAAGCGTGGTCAGTTTGGGGCACAGCATGTGCTTGTTGGCACTCACCCCAGCTCCAGCCCCACATCCATCCCAGGGCCACGCCAGCCCCACAGAGGGGTTCAGAGATGAGGCAGGATGGGGAACTTGATGCACTTCAACTGCATGTCCAGGCTGACTGGTGATGCCTCATCCCATCCTGGTCCCTGTCCCCGTGCCCATTGGTGTCCCCATCCTCTTCCCCATGCACAAGCCTGTACCCATCGCAGTCGCCATTCTCTGCTCTGGTATCACAAGGCACAGTCACCACCTCTGGAAGCCGTGGCAGAAGCTGGCCCTGGGCTGGGGGGGGAGCAGTGGGAATCACCTCGCATTCTCCCAGGGCAGGGGGACGCAGGGAAAGGGAAGCACCGGGAGCAGCCGGCCCGTGTGGGTGGGCTGGAGCAGGCGGGCTTGGCCGCCGCCGTGTCCCATCGAGCCGCTCCATCCTCCGGTCATTTACAATAAAAAATAAAGCAGGGAGGATTTCCAAGCCCAACACGAGGCTGGCCCGGGTCCACCGGGAGGTCGATGATTTGCTTTGCGCTACACATGCTTTAAAAATAATAATAAACCGAGTCAAAAACGAAAAGTGAGCTATGAAGAGGGAGAGCAGCACGTTGTTTCCGCAGGCTGGGCTGCGAAAGCCAAAGGCATCAGGGAGCAGCCCGGCTGAGCAGCGCCGGAGCGCGGGGGAGACTTGGCACCAGCCTGTCCTTAACTGCATGACACCTGATCCGATCCAAGGCTGCTGTACGCGCTGCCGGAGCCGGAGCAGGAGCCTCGCCCGCCAGCAGCCCAGGGAACAAGAAAACATTTTCCTTGACGAAGAAAAAACACCCCACCCCATCTATAGGGACCTGCTCCCTCTCGCAGTGCCCGCGCCTGGCCCTGAACGGAGTGGGATAGGCACGACATGGCATGGGGTGGCATGGCATGGCATGGCATGGCATGGCATGGCATGGCATGGCCATGTTGCAGGCTGCCCGTGGCTCCCGCTGCCTGGAGCCGGGATCCGGGGGTCCTGCAGCGATGCCAACACCAGAGGCGGTGCCACCACTTGATCCCGCGGCCGCCGGGTCAGGGCTCAGCTCAAGCGGATTAGTGACCCCGGGCGTGTGTGCCGGGAGCGCAGCCGCAGGTCACGGCTCAGGGCTTAATCCCTCACCTCCAGCTGTCAAAACTGCTCGGCAGAGCCTCGGCGATCGCTGCCGGGGTGTGAGTGGGGCTGAGGCCAACCCTGCGGAAA